TCGGCCCGGCGGGGGTGCGGGGCGGGGAGCGGGGGTGCCCGACGGCCGCTCCGCCCGGCGCCGGGATCCCGGCGGCTGCTTCCCGCCCTGTGCCCGCACCTGCCAGGTAGGGGCAATCGGAAACGCAGGAAAAAAACCTCCTCGGCGGGACGGAGCCGAGCGGGGATGCCCGTGCCCGGCCCTCCAGCGCTGCCGGAGCCCGGCGAAGGCCCGGCGTGCGGAGAAGCGGCACCGGGCAGCCCCGCGCTGCCCGCCGGAGCGGGGCAGGGGCAGCCCCGGCCGGAGCCCCCCGGTCATTCCCAGCCATTCCGGGCCGGGGGGCGGCCACGGGTTTTCCCCCTGCACAAGCGGGGCTCCACATTTACCGACACACGCGCAGCTTCGGGGAGCAGAGACGCGGAGATGCTCTGTGCCGAAATAGGGTTTATCGCGTGGAAAAGTGTTTACCGGTCCCTCCCTGATCGTCGTCATTTCAAATACAAAATAGATTAAAAAAAAAAAAAAAGGGAATAATTAAAAATAGAATTCGAAACCCCTTAAACTAAAAAAAAAAAGGAAAAAAAATGGAGAGACAAAGCGTTTTCCAGGGGCGAACGGAGCGGGGTTTGCAGAGAGTGGGCTGATGTTTGGCTTTCAAATTCACTTATCCTCCACATAATTACGATTTTCCTTGCATTAGGATTAAAGGCTGCGTATAATATGCTTTCAACATTTATCTTATTAATTCGACAAAACCCAGCGTCTCCTAAAAGGGAGATTCTCCTAACATTAAAAATATAGGAGTCTGTAAAAATTTGGATGTCAATTCCTGCTTCAAACGTGGTGGGTTTTTTTTCCTATTCCTGGGTTTTTTTCCCTTTTTTTTTTTTTTTTTTTTTTTTTTCTGCCAGTGCTGCAGCTCTCGCTGTAAGATATAAATTGTCCGATTGACTGTCATTAGTGGGGGGAAAGAAAACCTACGCGCTAATTTTATTCGCGAGAATTTTAAGGGACACCACAGCACATATACAATCTCGAAATCACTTCGGCATGATTCCCGAAATTCCCTGGGACTGAAAAGGGCCGCGGAGGAATTTGTGAGCTTTTATCCAACCACCGATGCCACTCTAAAAGAGGATTCAAGGGAACAGCGTCCTTCGACCCGCAGATCGGCACTGGGACGGACGCGGGCTCTTTCTTTTAGAGTTTCTGCTTTGCCCACCGCAAATCCCGGCGCCGGTGATGCTCTCCCGGCCTCGTGGAAACGCCTCACCGGGATTTTTGCGGGACACCGGGCAGGTGCGCCGGGCCCGATCCGGTCCCCGCGGTGTCACCCGCCGCCTCTCGGCTGCCTCACATCCATGTATTTCCTAGTCACTTCTTTTTGCAGCAAATCTCTTGCGGAGAGCCAAAGGCAAGCCGGGACCCCCGCAGCCGGTAAATCCCCCGCCACTCCCCGCCCTCCAAACGCACAGCCAGCTCCCGGCCAAGGGACAGCCCCAGGAGCAGCGGAGAAACCCGGGACTGAGCTCAGAAGGAGCCAAATCCCCACGGAAACCAGCCCTGACGGGCATCCAGGCCCCTAGGAGGTGGCCCAAGGTCTGCTGCTCCCTGGCCGGGACCTGGTGGGGGTTCAGGTGGCTGCAGGGACCGCAGGGCTAGCAGCGTTTGGACAGCGTTGTCACTAACCGCGGTGAGTTCTTGTGGGGATGGCTGCAAGGGACAGAGCACCCGCTCCCGTGGGTGTAGTCTTCTGTTTCCTCGCTGACCTTCACGCAGGAAGGGGAGAGGAGAGGGACCAGGGAAGGTTGCTCAGCCTGTGATCAGAAATACTCCTGTATCCTTTGGGAAACACCAGGCCTGCGGGTGTGTGGTTACTCCTGTGAGGAGACACATACACAGCTGAGAATCGGCTCCCAGGTGACTGCAATAAAATCACTCATAAAATAACACCACCGGGAGAACACACAAGTTCCCAGAAGCACGCCAGCCCAGCCACACTCACTCCTGCAGGGCCAGGGCACCATGGTGGGGGGCAGGCGGGCACAAAGGGATGCTCAAAACAGCCTTGCTACCCTCTCTGCCTGCTGCTGTGGTCCCTGGGAGGTGCACACCAGGTGGAATGGAAAATCCACTTAAAACAAAATGTGGAGCCACAAGCTTTCCTGGTGCCTGGAGAAATGCAGCCGGAACAGTTCCCTTCCCTGGAGACAGAGAGGGCTCTGTAGTGGAAATAAATCAGGGCCTCAGCTGAATGACTGAAACCATCCCTTCTGTTTGTCACCAGGCTCGTGGATGGCGCCTTTCCTGGGGAAGCCCTGTGCTGGGGTGCCAGAGACATCCCATCACGCTACAGACACGGCGCTTCTCCCACTGCTCATTCTGCCCAGCAGCATGGGGAACCCACTGGGAGTCCTCAGACCCACAACCAGATGAACGCTTGCCTACCTCCAGGTCCTTGCCAGGGCCGAGGTACACCACCAGTGGTCTGTATTGTTTCCATCCCAGCTCCCAAACACACCCAGGGTGCCTGTCCCTTCCTATTCCCTCTGACCCTTCAGCCCCACCTCACCAATGCTGGACTCTCGGGTCAGGTCGCTACCGTGCCACAAAGCCACAAATCCCTAAAAAGGGCCAGATACCACCTTTAGCTGGGGTTCACCCCTGGGAGCAAATGCTCCTGCTCCCCAGGAAGCCAACATACCTTCCCTACCTGCTTTCTCATGGTTCAGACAAACCACAGGCATCTTTGGTGCCCAAACTTTCCCTCTGCTTTCTTCCGAGCAAATACAGCGTCTGGTTAGAAATATTAATTTGCATAGTCACCAAATTTTTTTACTGCCTAGACCACCGAACATAATACAGGTGGCTGGTTAAACGCTTCATACATAGCCCCCTACCACTGCTGACTTTCTATTTCAAAATTATCTTTCTCAGGTTTTCTGCTTCTCCTCCTTACTTGGCCTGACAGCAGCATCAAGGTTTAAAACCTGGAAAGCTTTCACCTAGCTTCACCTTCCTTTAAACGTTTAACAGCCTGACAGAAGACATGATTGGCTATGAAGGACAGAAAAGGGAGAGAAATGGAAGAAGGGGAATCCCTGCAGGACTGAAATCTTCCTCTGCCTCCTGTACACCCTCGGGCCTTTCTGTCCCTGTGTGCCACCAGCAGTGTCCCTCGCTGGGGCAGAGCCCGCCCCACCTCTGCCTCGGTGTAAGGCCAGGCAGAAGCCACGCATCTCTTTGGTGGCCACACGAGCTCTCTGCTGTCGGGTCCGTGAGGATGTCACTCACAACCCCCCACCGGCCCCTGGGTGGCCGCTGCTTTGGCAGGGGCTGACTGCCCAGCATATTCCCTCAGGTGGATAATCCTCAAGCAGAAATGGCCTTTCCCCTCCTGGTGATGCTCTGACAGCCCTGGCTTCTCCAGCGAGTGACAGTCCCTAAAGTTAGCAAAGGTTTCCTAAAGCCAGCAAAAGTTTCCCGAAGCCTGGCGCGGAGGGGGTGGGGAGAGCAGCGAAGGGACAGACAGACGAGGCGGGGGGGGAGGGAAAAAATAAAGATGCAGAGGATTTCAGCTTCAGCTCTGCTGCAGCGACTTGACGTGGGGTGTGTGAAGGAGCCTGAAACTTAAAAAGATTTATTTTCTCTAGTCATAAATCTCATCCCGTTGTTCCTCTGACCAACCAAGCATGATAAAGTCCTTTTCCATAAAGTATTCAGTATTAAAGCCACAAAGCTCACCCAATCAGTAGCCATCTGCTTCTCCCATAACTGCTGCTCCAGAAGCAGGGAAAAGCAGCCAGAAGAGAAAGGGCACCACTGTTAGGGCTCTGGGACAAATGAGGAGGCACTGAATAGCAGCCGAAACCTTTGGTTTGCCTTGTATATCTGTATCTATAGAGACAGAGGAAGAAAGGAAGCATTATATTGATACAACAATTGTAAAACAAAAAAAGGAAGAGGCATCTAAAGGGCAATACATCGGGCATCAGAGGGCCCCGCGGGGATGGCTGCTCGCAGATTCATACAAACCTTTAATTGCTTTGCAATTGAAAGATAAAGAGGCCGAAAAAAAAAAAAGCAAAACAAAAAAACAAAGAAAAAAAACCAAAAAAAAAAAAAACCAAAAACAAAACACTAAAAAAACCAAACCGGAGAGAGCGGCAAAGCGACCTGCGTTACACGGTGCATCGGCGCCTGATCTCTGGCAGCCAGCGAGGCGGATCATTGCTGACTGGGGTACGATATTCCCGGGACCGACCCCCCCATTTCGCTCTCCCCGGCCGCAGCTCGGCCCGGCCCCGGCCCGCAGCCGCCCCGGCCCTCCAGGCTGTCCCCCCGCAGGGTGGGGACTCCTCTTCGCCACCTGCACGGGAAAAACCGGCAACGATGTCTCCCCAAAAGAGAGGCGGGGAGGCGTGAGGGTGACGGACCGGAGAGGGGGTGCAGAAGCCCGGGGGGGCTGCAGGAGCACCGGGCGGGCAGCGCCCACCCCAGAGCCGCCCCCGCCCCTTTCCCGCCGGGCAAACAGCGGGTTAATGACCGAGTCAGCTCATGGACAGATTCACGTCCCCTGAGAGCCGGGGGTTCGAGCCGGGACCCCACTGCACGCTCTGGGGAGGGGACATGGCCCGGGCAGGGAGCAGCGGACCGGGATTAGCGGCGGCGGGCCGGGATTAGCGGCCGCCCGCTCTGCTGCCGCTCGCCGGGATTAGGGCGGGATTAGGAGGCGGCCCCTCCGTGCCGGGCGGGGTGAGGGGCAGGCCCGGAAACCCGGAGAGGCTCCGCTCTCTCCCCTGGCCCCACACAGTGCCCGGCGAATGCTGCTTCCCTCCGATGGAGGGCAGGAGAGGAAAGACGAAGGCCGGGATGCTGCCGGCGGCGAGATGCAGGTGCCAGGCACCTGCCCGCAGCCATCCAGCCCCCTGCTTGCTTCCCCATTTTGGGACCCGGCGACAGGCCAGAGGGCCCCAGCAGGAGCCAGGGCTGGAACACAGGGGACCAAAAGAAAAAAAGGTGGTGGGTTTTCCTTTTAAGATTCCCCGGCACAGGAGTGAAGGCAAACACAAATACGATTTATGCACCGATAAAATCAGGGTCGAGGGCCGGTATATGCGGATGTGCCTCCCTCCCTCCCCCCCCGCAGGTTTCGTTTCTCTCGCAGAGCACGAGCGGGACCAAACGCCACGTTGAAGGCACGTGTCGCTCCCTGGCTTTTCCCGAGCACTGTCGTGTCCAGCAGCCCTGTATTATGTCAAAAATCTGGCATGGCAGGCAGTGGCACATCTGCTAGGTGTGGATGACATTCATTAGCCAAGGTTCTCTGCTAAACGGCCTGCCAGAGTCTCAGCAGCGCTGCCCAATGCCAATCACTCGTCTGCTGCCAGCTCAAAGGCAATCCTGCTTCAGGGATGGCTCCTTTCCATGCTGGCAGGAGAAACAGAGGAAACAATGCATTTAGATGTTTGGGATGTGAGCGAGGTTGCACATGGGAGCAGCAAGCAGATGTAGCAGGAGAGGAGATGAAGTTGTGAAGTGTCATTCAATAATTGCAGCACAAGGGAGATGTGCTGGTGAGCTGAGGTTTGGGAGGGGAAAGCGTTAGGAAAGCATTAACCCCTTTCCAAACCACAAGGCAGAAAGTGGTGGATGCTTTTTGGAAAGGAAACATAATGAGGCTAATGCAGCAAATGGCCTGCTTGTGCTCATGGAGGACACACAGTGCAGGGAGATTGATGCCAGGACAGCCGGGAAAACCTCCCGGGCCAGGAGAGGGAGCTGTGCTAACCTGCTCAGGGGGCAGCCTGCCTCAGATGTCCTTCCCCTCTGGGGGTCTACCTGCTGCAGCCCGGACAGCCGCCTGGCTCATGACACAGTGGGCTCAGTGCTGGCCCTGACAGCTTGGTTTGCAGCCCAAAGGGGCAGCTGCACATCCAGGGCAAGCTGGGCACTACCCACCCTGCCCTACGAGAGATGTGGGGGCCAGGGGTGGAAGGAAGGAGCATCTGCTTGGCACTGCTACAAACATTCTCTGGGAAGAGAGGCTCCATTTTCCTCTGCTGAGAAGCCCTGGGAAGGTGCTTGTTCCTAGAAAGGAATTAAAACACCTTGATCAGAGATAGATGTAAGGATGTTAATCTTCCCCTCTTATTAATTTCATAAACTTAGAACCACATAATGAAGCTTGATTTTGAGCCACTATGTGCTTTCCAGGGAGCCTGGGAGGCAACCTCAAATAGATGCTCAGTGAAAGCTCCCCTTAGCCCTGTTTTCCCTTAGCTTCCATTCTGACTTCTATTTCTGTTTACATCAATTCAGGTAGTGGTTCATAAAATGTGTGAGATGCTACCTACCTACACACACACACACATGCAGCTTTTGCCTCACAAATAATTCCTGTGACAGCCTCAGTTTCTCAAATGTTCCAGTACTTTTGCTTGCACCACAAAAGGCCACTGGCAGCTTGCAGTGCCCTTCATGCTTCTTTCATCCAGGGAATCACAGGCTTCTCCCCCAGCACTGGTCTCTCTGCAATTACCTGTGCTATTAAATCCTAATGTACACCAAAAGCCCTCCCAGATCAGCACAACCGTTCCAGAGATGGTGGAGCCCATCTCTGACACCACACGTGCTCTTCCCACAGGCAGCGGCTTGCCCGACATCCTGTGCCTGGCCATCTGCAGCACAGCTCAGCTGTGAGCCCTTTCCTTCTGCTCTCGCCTCCCCAGGAAGTCATTCTGCTCCAGCTGCATTCTGGACTGAGCCTTATCCACCTTCTGTTTCTCTGCTGGGTTTGTCTCTGTTCTGGTTAGTTGGTTGGCCTCAACCAACGCATGTCTGCACATTAAAAGAGATTTCCCCAGTTTCCTACTTTTGGTGGTTTAACACTCGCTGTACCACATACACCCCAACACCCTTCTGGCAGAGGCAGTGTGAACCCCAGAACCTCCCATCCTCAGACACTACAACTGGGTGGCTGCAAGAGCAGGAGTCAAATCAAGAGACAGAGACACGGTGCTTCTCCCTCCTCTCCAAACATTATACCTTCCTTTAAATACGTGAGTAATCCCACTGGATCTCCTCTGGTGCTTAATGTTAAGCCTATTAAGTGTTTGCAGAGCAGTGGTCTGCACACAGAAGGAAAGGGAAAGGGGAGAACAAGGCACTGCTCTGGCAGGGAGCCAGGGTGGCAAGAAATACTCCCCGCTCTCCTTCCCCTCCGGGTCACCTTCTCCTCTGGCTACTCCCAACAGCCCCACCACCAGGCTCCCCTCAGCCTTCCGTGCTGCCACCGACATCAGCGACGTCAGTGCGAGATGAAGCGGGTCACAGGAGGAGGAAAGTGCTTTAAAAACTTGTCAAAACAAAAGCCTGGATTCATTTTTTAATACCAGGTTGGGCTTTAGGGTCGCTGTGTTGGAAACTATATTTTGTTTTATTTTCGAGACGCTTATTGCAAAATTCATTGTGTTCATCATTGTTATTTTAAGACAATGATGTGGGAGAGAGCAGTTATCCCCTCTCCTACAAGGAGGGCTCCAGGAAAGCACTCATGCATGTGGTTTCCTTTGCTCTCTGAGGATTTCAAGCATGTACTTAGATTTAAACCTGACTGCTACTTTTTGTAACAGGGAGCACCTCTTAGAAACAGGACTTGATGCAAAACCTGCACATCCACGGAGCTCTGGCTCTTGACTCTGCTTCAAGCACTGCAAAACCTCCTGCCTTGGCCGCACAAAGCCCCGTCCCACCCTTTGATGCATTTATTGGCACGTGCACATTCTAATTCCTGACACCACCCTTTCTTCCCCTTTGCTTAGCTGGCTTTTCTCTGGGCACAATGCATTATGTTTTCCTGTATGTACTACTCCATACTGCTTGCACAATGTTTTGCATGATCTAATATTCTTTGTTCAAAACTGCAAGAAAATCTAAATAAAGACTATAGCGTGTCGCATCAGTATAGGCATCAGCTAACGTTTTCCACAGCATATGGTACTTCAGAAGCCATATGTACCACTGTTTAGTGATTCTGGCAAAGAGGCGCAGAATGGTGAAATCCAACTGCCAGGATTTCTGAAAACAAATATGTAAATGCTCCAGTGCTTTTGTTATTCATAACATACCTCTAACACAGCACATACAATATGCTGTTCATTCTGTAACGAGTATACTACTAAACTATATTTGCTTCCGTTCTCGTTTTAAAAGATTTTTTTCCTTCTGTATATGATTCTGCCATCCTCTCTATCAAAATCCATCTAAAGTGGAATTCAGAAAAGGCGTTTTATCTATTTTGAAGCATACGCTACGGGGAAGATTGTGTACCTACGCAAGGGTCTCACATCAGAACAAAGACAGACGTTATCTCTGCAGCCTGACTAGTGGAATGAGAGCAAGGAAGGCAAGTGCACTTAGGCAGATGAGCTGCATGGAGCAAAGCTTGTTCAGCCAGGAATAACCTCCCAGGGAACACGGGTGGGCTGGCCCTGCTCACGGGCTACTGCAAAGCAAGCAGGCGGACAAAGCTTTTGTGAACAGGCCCTCAGAAACAATAGCTGGGATGGAAAGAGAGGATGCCAGACACGTGGCCCAAGGTGGATGGTGGCTGCCAAACTCTGACCCGGGCTGGGATCGGTCCTGGTGAGCCGGGGCTCGGCCAGCAGCTATGGACAAAGGGGATGGTCCGTGGCTGGGGCTTGCTCCCAGAAGGGCTGGCAGCACCAACACCGAGGTGTCGGGGCAGTGCACAGGGTTCCTGTGCAGCACCTGTGCATCACTAAAGGCCATCAGCCAAGGCAGAAGCTCTCCTTCCAGAGCCATCATCAGCAGGTAAACAGGAACCAACACCCAGTTCCATGACCCACCTCTGACAGCGCCATGCTGGGTGCTCCTCTCATCCACAAAAAAAGCTTGTCATCTCTGCTGGGATCTTGCTGTGCTGAAGGATTCCAAAATGTTGCTGTTTAGCATTAAGCTCCCCATTCACAACAAACATTTTAACGTTACCTGTTGCCACCATTGCCTCTGTCTTTCGGCTTATCAGTGTCCACAGAGGCTGAAACTGTGGGAGTGACCAATTCCATTCACAGGTCACTCTGCAGCTCGCTCCTGCCTCTGAAGCAGAGCTCCTGTACGTCCCCAGAGCTCCCGGTGACACCTGGGGACCAGGCAAACCTCGGGAGGAGGGGACAGGTACCAGTGCCTCTAAGAAACACGTGGCTTTTCCAGTCTATTGCTTAACTAATGTTGTTAAAAACAACAATGAACCCAGGACTCCCTGCACACAGTCTCAGCGAAATACTGTCACCCTACAGGGTCCTGAAAAAATTCAGCCATCTCCAGACATGACAGCGTTATTCAAGACACACAGATGTCTTTTTCCCAAGAGATCGAGGACTGCTGCTCCTTTCTTTGCCAGTCTTGCACTGCAGCATCCCATTTCAGCAAGCACAATCTCCCTGAACAAGGTCCCGTGCCCTCCACCGCCTCTGCTTGACTTCCCTCACACATCAGACCTGCTCATTACCTCCTGTCCGCTGCTAGCCCCCAAGGCATTATCCTGAGCTGCAAACCATCTGGGCGCCCAAGCAACTCCTTTTTGCTAGGTTTTTCCCCCTGTGACATAAACTGGGATCCCACTTTCCTCCCCTCAAGTGACAGAGATACTCTGTTCTAAAACTTAAGCCAGACCTCTGCCTGCAGCCAGGTCTTTCACTGCTAAACACTGTTTTTTTTTTTTTTTTTCTATTCTATCACAGAAGAAACCCTTCAAATAAGCCCTTATGTTTTCCTACTTCTGTAGGTCCTTCAGCCAGAATCCGTTTTTTCCTATTCTGTTCTAGCCAGCAGGTGATAAAAAATTGCCATAAGAAATGTTGGCTTTGAGCATAAGTGCCTGGATTAGAAAAAGAGACAATTAGAAAGTGAAAAGTGGCAAAAAGCTCTAAGAAGCCAAAAATAAAAGAACAAACAAACATGCAATCTGGCTATCAAAAAAGGCCACGTTTTTCCCTTGCTGCAGTAAAAATCAACATTGTCAAAATTACAAAGTATATTGAAAGACAGGAAGTCATGGGGAGAGGGAAAAACAGTGCCAACAGGGTCAAAAAGGGGAGGCCTGGGAAAAGCCACCTGAAGGAGCTGACAAAGGAGGGGACAGGGAAAGGCTAGCACCTTGTACCGTGCTGCCAGCACGCTGCAGTGATCCTGTGGGAGACAAACTACCCTGAGTGAAGGGAGCCAAAAAAAGAGCCGCTGATTGAGCTGCTTCACGTGAGCCGGCATTTATGACAGAACAAAGGTCAGACTTGTATTACCTCTTGTGAATCCCTCTTGAATGAGCAGGCTGGGGATTTGATGAGCTCAGGACGAAGATTTATCCACATGCCACGGGTTGCTGGCCCTAACTCTTAACCTGCTGGCAGAGGTTGGGGCTTTTCATTAAGGGGGGCTATGCATGGAATACGTGCAGGCTTCGGCTAAGAGTAAATGTGATCTCAGCCCACACAATTTGCCACTGCCTAAGAGACAACAGATTATTTTTTCTCAGCACAGAAGTCAGCAGAACCCTGGGACCCTCTGAGGAGCCGAGAGCACAGAGGGGATAGTGAGGGGAAAGCTGGAAGGGGTTTCATGGTACATTGCTCATTATATCCATCAGGGAAAACCCAACTGCCCTTTCAAGCTTTACTCCCATGCTCTTGAGGCACGCCCTTTCTCAAGCCAGGCAAACACCCAGTGCTTCTGCCACAGCAGGCTCTTCTTCAGGGCCATTCACAGCTCTCATCAGCAGTCCCCCTGTGCCACCACAAAATCTGGCCACTTTTAAGGGTGAACAGTCTTCATGTGGGTTCAATGGCCTGGACAGGCTTGCTCCTTCTCCTAAATCCCCTGCCTCCATTGCACAAGCAACAAGAGTTTCAGGAGGAAAAACAACCTGAGGAATTGGGTATTTAAAACAACACATCCTTCTGCCCCTCCTATTACTGGTTTTCATTGAGGCCCACGTCTCTGCACCCCAGTCCCTCCACCTGGATGGCATCACCTCTGACTGCCTGTACATGAGCTGCTGGGTTTTCTCTCCTGTTCTTCCTGGGCTGTTTCTGTGAACCCCGCTGAATCCATCAGACTTCATTTTATGAGATCCAGCACCACTTTGAAACACTTGAGCTTTTTGCAGCAACTTAAAAAAAACCCAAAACAACCCCAAAACACGGACTAAGGGGTTTTGCAGTTGGTGTTCTCGCATGCTTCACACTTGTTCCTACTTTTCCTTTTCCTGTTGCAACCTGAATACCCCATGGCCCTGGCTGAGGGGCAGTAAATTCACTCCCTCCTTCCCTTCCTGCAGCCTCTGGCAAAGCTCTCAGCTTCCCTCTTTGTTTGGTTGAGAGATGCAAGGATTACTCATCCGAGAGACACAATCCCAAGGATTTCCCCAGCCCCTTGGGGGACACACACCCCCAGGTCCCTTCAAGCAGGCACAGCTGGAAGAGCCAGGCAAGGACTGGAAGAGGGATTCCCAAGACGCGCTCCTGCGGAATGAGTGAATAATTTCTCTCCTGCAGTCAGTGCCAGCACTTGCTCCTTGCCAGTTGGCAGAGGGTACCACTTCCTTTTCTGAGGAATGCTTAACATCCACCTTTCTCCCACCCCAAGGGAAAACCACAGAGGCTGGGGGAGTCTTTCCTGGCAACCAGGCATCTGAAGGAGCTGCAGGCTAGAGGAGGAATCCAGCAGGGAGGCCAGGTTTTACTTCACAAACTTCTTTTAGCTGAAGAGGAGCAGGGAGCACATTTCTCCCTCACCTGAGAGTTCCCATGGGAACACAGAAGGGCGGTGTAATAGCAAATTTTGGAACAGGCACGTCTGCGAACAACTTCTGATATAATATTTGAGTCCTCAGATGTTCAGCCACTTGCACATACTGCGCGAGCGCCTGATTTGCATGGGATTTG